TGAGGGAAAAACTTGAAGGCTGGAGGCCACTTCAACTTCAGTACTGCGAACTCCAATAAGTGAAGACAAATGACGCGGACAATAATAAACGTTTTTCAGCATCGAAATCCCCCGCATCTCACACATAACACTGTTTTATACTGAGATTAATGAAGATCGCTGGTCAGTTTAAAAACGCTACGAGGCGTTTACTTGTCAGTTCCTCGTCCAACGATGAAGACGCATCTCCGACCCTGACGGCCGTGGGACGTAAACAAGTTACGTGGGGAAACTGTAAATTTACTCTAGTACAGAAACAATTCCTGCGATGGGGCGGGGGGGCATTTGTGCAGCCTCGAGGAATTGACAACGACCACAGGGCAAATATTTACATACTTCTAAAGCTATGCAGGTTATATAGCGGATAGCGCTCTACAGGGTGTGTGAGGAGGTTACGTTAAGGCGGTTGAATGCGGGACTCGAGATGGAATTGACAAGCTCATGGATGAAGCTTATTTCTCAACAACAAAAAATACAAGAAGAAGGTTCAAGTCAATTATGACTGGTATTTAACTCGAAGATATTTGTTCCGTTTCATAAAACATTCATTAACACACAAAGAAAACTGTTTTTTAAAACAAAAAGTAATGTAGTTGTAGACCCAGAAGAGTTTAAACAACAAAGAAACTATTGTGTAATGTATTGCTATATAACAATGCGGCTAAAACGTGTAGCAAAATAAATTAAGATTCAAATGATCTATTAATCAGTCTCTCATTCCAAGTAACTGCATTCAAAAATTTTCCCAACAATATTCTATAAGAATTTTTTTCTCTCCATATGTGCTACAAGTCCAGTCCATCTTTCTATTTAAAATGTAAACATCGCTATAAGCGTCGTTATTTCCCATAAACAACCTAAAGTTCTCCTTGGAGAATTTTTTATTTCATTGTTTCTGAAGGATACTTTTAAGGGCTGCTGGAATACGGGACAATTATGCATTCCAACTGATTTTTTTTTCCAGAAGCTGTACAGAACACTGAACTAAGAAGAATCCCATTACATTGAACGCCTGGCAGCCTGCCTTCCCTCGCCACATTCACACCTGCACTCATATGGTTGTAAAATTCGAATGTAATGTGCTAATGAAAGCGGCTATAAGCAAGCAGACTGTGTTATTATACAGGTTTGGCAAAGTTTATTTGTTACTTCAACGCGAACAGGCTTTATTTAATTTTATAAACACATAGCAGATGGCGTCATGTCCAGATTTGCGCTTAACGTGATAGCAAATCTTTGCTTTGCTTTGGGTTCACAATGTCCATTCGCACGCAGAACAGTAAACACCCTACTTATCATCAAGAGAAGACGAAAATTACAATACAAGCGCGTCAAATGAAGGCAAAATAGGGAGGTATACATATGGTTCATTAAGAGTCAAGGGTTAAAACATTTATTTCAAAGCAAATGTTCGTTAACATATACGTTTATCGAACACTTTTCAGCTTTTCACAAAATTCTGTTCATCTCCGATTCAATTTTAACCCAAAACTATTTCGTATTATAATGAAACTAATTAATTTCAGATTGCTAACGTTGATACGACTGTATAGCCTTATATGCGATGAAGCAAAATTATCCAAATGTTACATGTTTCGCGCAACAAACCCTCAAAACCGATGTTCTGAAATTAAATGCATTTATAAATGAATGTTCTCTATTTGGGAGTTGCTTTGTTGAGTGAAAATCCACAAATTTAATCTGTCAGTTATGGTTAAAATGTCGTGTAAACAGTAATTATACCAACTCCATCAAAAACCATTGTTTCCTGACAAACTATTGTAGTGAGTTCCTTTGTCATCAGAGCTGTTACAGCGACTCCATCTGACAACAGATTCTAATAACAAGGAAGAATAGCCTTCCTCATGTGTTTTGGATGAGAATAAACTAAAAAAGGTTTAAATGCTAAACGAAAGTGTTACATATAAATTACAATTCTGTAGTTAGGGCAAGGGACCTAAATGGATGTCATTCATTCATTCATTTATTGAAATGTACAAGGCTTAGAAACTCTGGAAACAAATGAAACCAACAAAGTTACCTTCTTTGAATCAATGTACAAATCCTGTTTTGTACAGTCACATTCAAACATACATGTCATGTACTGCGTATATAAAATAACCTCCAGGTACACAATTCTCCGGTGCCAGGGAAAACGAACATACGACCCAAACGTTAAGTAAATGAAGACAATTTTAATAAACTCCGATAAAATCAGCCTTACTGATATTTTTAAATGTACACCAGTACGATTACACAGTTTCGTACGGAATTAATTGAAATCATAAGACAGAAAAAAAATTTCTATTAAGTGTTGAAAATGTCCACCGCAATCAACGATGCGTGCAATCATTCTTGTCATCATGTTTGATGCAAATTGGTCAAACGACCCTGAGTCAGGGAAAGTGTTTACCAGACGAGACAATGTCCACTTGTTCAGCACAGGAGAATCGGTAAATGTATCCCTAAACTCAATCTAGCAAGTTAAATAAGAACTACATACCAGGTAGATGGCAAAACGTCGATGCTAAATTTCGTTTAATTCCTTACTCGCATTATCTAGTTTTATAAAGCGTACACGCAAATATCAAAAGTTAAGTTTTGGCTAAATTGACGGAAGGTTAAATTGTATGTGAGCATCCTCTTGTGGTTTGTACAACTAAACGTTAATCTTACCGTCACACAAAACACAATTTGCAAACCCTAAATACTCTTTTTATTCTCTACAGGTAACGCAGATGCCGAGCCTTATGTCACTTAATGAACGTCACACCTATTCAGATGCTGGACTGAAGCAGATTTAGTAGATTAATTAGACTGGTTCTAATTATTACGGAGGACAAATGGATAACACGGATGCGTACGTGAAATTTGCTTCGTATTTGTTGGACCGTCACTTGTTTATATACACATTTCCACTACACTTCTCTACTGCGTCACAGACCATATTACCACACGAATATCTACACATCACAACAAGATACAGAACGATCAATACAAAATAATATAATTCTGATGTTGGACTGTAGCAGATTTAGTAAATTGGATTGGTTCTAATTATTACAGAGAATCAATGTATAGCACGAAAAATACACAAAATTTGTTTCGCATTTGATGTATCGTTACTCATTTACACACATATTCCCATTACACTCTTGAATACTTTGCCACAGATCATAATACCACGCACATCTACCCACCATAACAACTTGTCCAACGATCAATACGACAGAATCTAAATACATGCTAAGCTCCATGAAAATAACACAACGAATCATACAAGACTGAATCAACCTTCGTGTACAAATGGCATGCGTAAAATATATTTAACAATTTTTAAATTCTAGCAGAAAACAATCATATTGCAATATATATATATATATATATATATATTATATATATATATACATACACACACACACACACACAATTTTTTAGTATTACAGACGATGATGATCACATACCAGCCGAAACATGCAGTATAAATAACATGTGTCGTTTAAAAATTGTAGTCAGTGGGCTGGTCACTCACTACTCATAAATACACGCTTCAAAAGACCAAGAATCCTTCTAAAAGGGAAAACGAGCCGAAGCACCATAGATGATGTTGATTTAAAATTTTTAAGAAGGGGAGTGTAAACGTGTTTAACAAGTAACGGGCATCAAACACGAAACAATATCAATAATACACCAATGAATGTTGCGATAAAAATTATAAATAAACGATTTCACTGATCACCACGTGGTATGTATCATGGCGCACACACAAAGATGAACTGGTCAGCAGAAGA